CAAGGATGGATGGAAGGATAGAGAGGGCGGCAAGGAGGGGAATCTTGCACGCCAACCCTAAGCTCCTGAGATGATAAACCGCAGTGTATCCTTAGCTTTCAGAGCGTTGGCATTAGAACAAATCTAAATGGCATTTAGGTTACAAGAGTAAATATATTTCCAAATACACGCTTGGTGTTTTACTGTGTACGTCATAACACATTAACGCAACTTAGCATCTTGAAATCGTATGGATGAGGACCTGTTTTGTTTCACAGACATTCCATAACATTAACTGTAACTATAAATATTAATGTACAAGATGTACAACAGATCATTGTAATTTAAATATTAATATTAATTTATTATTAATATATAATATAAAAATATATATATTGTTTAATTTAAAAAATGTGGCATAAGAGGAATAAAACATTTCAGGACATGCTGTTATAGGAACACTGAACATCGCATCACACCACCCTATCATTGATTATTTTCCTATAACAGCATGCCCCATTATGTTTTATTACATAAATAAAACTGATATTTTTCTAGTTGCCATTCTGTAATTGTGACGGACACTCCAGGTCAGTGTATGTGTTAGAGGGCAGTGTTGGTGTTTGCTAAGTGGGTGTGTTTGTGTACACTCCTATTGTACAATATCGATCTGTTATTTCCATACATTTTTTTCCGTGACGTGAAAAAGCAAAACAGGTCATGTAGGGCAGCGTTTTCTCCAAGCTGCTGTTTGTCTGTTTGGTGCATGTGTGTGTGTGGGTGGGTGGATGTGGGAGACGAGAAGTGATCTGCAAGGTCAGTCTATCCCAAGCCAACACACGCACACACACATACACACATACACACACACAGAGATTCATTCATAAGCAGTCCGGTTCCGGTTCACACACAGATGCGGTGTTGTGTGACGAGAACAGAGAACGAGGGCCAGTGCCCACTTTGGGTTTTTTTTTTTCCTCTCACTCGCTGACTCAGAAAAAGACGGGCCGTTTCTATGGCAACGCTATATCACTCAACACAGTAGAACAGGGCACGTGGAGTTTATCCATAATATAAGCGATATGGATTATCAACTATGGTACATTCACAGAAGCAAGGCTCGAGTCGATACTACAGCTCACTTAAAGACAAACTGAAATTAAAACTGACCTTTTTTCTCACCTTCAGTCCATTTTCCTGCTCATCAGTATCAACCACGTAAAAGACAATATTCTTGTTTTCCATAATCTTCAATCAAAATGACTTTTGCCCACCTCTAATCTTCATCTAATTTTTACACAGACAGGTAAGGAAAATATTAACCAATTCTTTTTAGTTTGTTAATGTGTAAGTCTAGATTTAAGCATCTGCACTTTACTTGAGTTTTTGCTTCACCTAATGGATGTTTTTCACACCTGTGTGTTTATAAAAACTTCTGGTGAGGCAGCAAATGCAGCAGTTGACTTTTCCTTACAAGTTATTAAAAAAAAAAAGGAAAGAAAATTCCAACCTTTCTACTACATTTTCACACACTACATCATTTTTTCATTTCTCTATAATCATATATTTGTACAGTCATAAGGTGACTTTTTAGCATCAGACAGCTTCAAGATTGACACAGTCTCCTGTACCCGTCTCTGTAATCTACAGTGCGTAATCTGCTGCTGTGTACACGTTGTATGTATCAAGGCAGTTTGTATTGTGAAAGCTAGCTTTTAACAGTCAGTTAGTTAGTATTGTCGGAGTTAATATCCCAAGTCACAGTTAAAGATCTGAAAAACCTCGCCTGGTCTTCTTCCAGTCTTGAACTGTAGAGCTTAGGTGAATGCCCACTATAGCCTCAGAGTCTTGTTCATGGCTGACAAGAGTGGAACCAGTGGTGTTGTGTGTTCCGAGATGCTTTTCTGCTTACCATAGTTGTAACGAGTGGTTATTTGAGTTAACGTAGCCTTCCCGTCTGCTCGAGCCAGTCTGGCCATTCTTTCTAACCTCTGTCATCAACAAGTCCACAGAACTGTCACTCATTGGATGTTTTTCGCACCATTCTATGTAAACTCTAAAGACTGTTCTGCGTGAAAATCCTAGAACATCAGCGATTTCTGAAAGCCTGTCTGGTACCAGCAACCATACCATGGTTAAAAATCACTGAGATCACCCCCCTCCCCCCAATCTTTTTCATGTGGACATTACCTGAAGCTCTTGACCTTTATCTGCATGATTTTATGCATTACATGATTGGCTGATTGGATATTTGCATGAATGTGCATGTGTACAGGTGTTCCTAATAAAGTGGACAGTGAGTGCACATTTCCACTTTAACTTGAGTGTAGAATTTGGAGCTGGACTTCAGCTTTTCCCAGATGATTTATTCAGATTAGTAATTGCACTTGTACTTAACTGAAGAATTTAGGTACTTTTACTGGCCATTTTTCACAATCCAATCAAATCCTGAATATCTGGTTTCCCGGTTTCGCGCAGAAAATATGACACATTATGGAAGAAAAATTCCTTATTGTTTCCATTCCGTGTTGTACACTCAGCGATTTTGCTGGCAGTTACCTGAAGCTAGCTGTTTTGAAACTCAAACCCAAACAAATACAGCCCCGCCCTTCAATGTTCCCACCGAAGCCACGCCCATCAAAATACATCCTTGCTACTTATAGTTTTAGAAGAACAGTATCTCAAGGGTTTTACTTGGAACCCTGTCTGAAAAGGAAACACACTGTTGTAGGGTTCTATGAATAAGCCTTCAGAGTTCCTCCAGAGGAACAAGCCCATGACCTATTAGACTTCAAGATTTAAGCATAGGCTAAAACACCTGGTGCAAGAGGCGGAGCTTTCTGAATAGACAAGATTGACAGGCGATTAGTGATGTCTTCTTCTTCTTCTTCTGATTGGTTGGGTGTTGGTGGGACACCAGAGAGACCAGATTTTCTGTCTTCTGCCTGTTTTTTTGGTTGTATACAATAAAAGACATGACCCTATTAAAAAAAAAAACATACAGTACATAATATAAAAGATTAGCTAGGACACAATACAGCATACACAATGAAAATAAAATAAAATGCATAAAAGTGCAGTGCATATTGTGAACAGATTCTACACACAGATAACAAACACTTAAACACCGCAGCTGAATTTCAGGTCCCTGTCTGACTTTGGCTGATTGTTTTTTTTTCCATATCAGGTTTCATGTTTTGGTAACCAGCACCATGTTAGCAACAGTGTTTGCTAGCTTCACACACAGATATTGCTGAAGATTATGCTGACAATCACGCTGCGGGGAAACGAGAAAGCTCACACACACAAGCGTTAGTTATAGGATTGAATCCACCATGCCATAGAAACTACTGTTAAAGTAAGCAGGCTATCACAAACTAGCATTATATGAACAAGCTAACACACAAACTTGTGTTATAGTAAACAGGCTAACACTTAGACTAGCATTATAGTGAACAGGCTATCACACAAACTAGCATTATATTGAACAGGCTAACATACAAACTAGTTTTATAGTAAACAGGCTAATACACAAACTAGCATGATATCAAATAGGCTAACACATAAAACAGCATTATAGTGAACAGGCTAACATACAAACTAGTGTTATAGTGAAAAGGATAACACACAAAATAACATTATAGTGAACAGGCTAACACATAAACTAGTGTTATAGTAAGCAGTCTAACACACAAACAAGCGTTATAGTGAACAGGTTAAAACATACACTAGTGTTATAGTAAGCAGACTAACACACACATTAGTGTTATAGTAAACAGGCTAACATGGAAACTAGCATTATTTTGAAGACTAACATACATAATAGTGTGTTAAATAGCCTAACACATAAACTAGGATTATAGTGAAGGCAAACACACGAGCTAGCTTTTTTGAACTGGCTAACAAACAAATTATTGTTGTCACAGTTAAGCTAACACACTAAAGTAGCGTTATACTAAACATACTAACACACAAGCTAGCATTATAGTGAACAAGCTAGCACACAAACTTGGGTTATAGTAAACAGGCTAACACAACATCTAGCATTATAGTAAACAGAGTAACAAATAAAGACAGATTAGACAGATTAGCATTTCTAGCATTATTTTGAAGATAAACACACAAAAGTTTCTCATAGTCTCATAGATAACACATAAACTAGCATTATAGTGAACTGTAAACAGGCTAACACAAACACACAAATTAGCATTATAGTGAACAGGCTAACACACAAACTAGCATTGCAATAAATTTGTATGGCTGTAAATTTTGTCTGTGTGTGTTTGCAGAAATTAATGTTAAATTAATAGATTTAAAACAATGTTTTTCCACTACGATGCAGCATGTTAGATAAAATTATTGTATTATTTTACTCCGTCACATTTCTCTAAACTGTGTTAGAGACTTTAAAACAGATTAAGGTAGATTGTAGCTCCTCCCACACTTGGGTATGGTGTTGGGTTTCTCTGTTTATCCAAAGATATAAATGTTGATAGAGACAACTTGGGAGTCACCGCATGATTCACAGCAGTTGCACGAATCCCGAAAGAAGCAAAAGGACAGTGATGTACATAACATACGGGTGTGTGAGCATGTGGTGTGCTGCACATGACTATTATTAGCAAACACTCAGAGAGACGGTGTAAACTGAGTCACTCCTCACAATCATAAAAATATCGCTGTCTGTCTGCATCACTGTACATGTTTAAAATTTGATTCATCTTAATCCTTATTATGTAAATGCAGAAACCAATAAATATTTATGTTTATGGTTGTAAGCAGGACCACCAGCCAACTTTTTTTGAAATTTTATGGAAAGTGAAAGTTCAGTTTATCAGTTCTGCGGTGTGTTGGGGTGTGTTCTCTAACAACAGTATAATTACTGTGTAAATACAGCGTACTGTATACATAGCTGGAAGCTTAGGACAACACTTCTGCCTGGGGCGTGTGTGCTTTCAATATTTTAACGTTATTTTTTAACACGATATTTATTACTATGTATTTTCAGAACTCAGTAACAGTCCCTGGAGGACTAGTGGTTAGGCCTTGGTGCTCTCACCGCCATGACCAGGGTTCAAATCCCTGACCCAGGGAACCAACCCACGCCACTGGGGTTGCACACAACAGTGTACTCCCAGTGCCGGTCCCAAGCCCGGAAAAAAATTGGGGAGGGTTGCGTCAGGAAGGGCATAAAAACAGTGCCAAATCAAATATGCGGACCAATGATCCGTTGTGGCAACCCCTAACGGGAGCAGCCGAAAGAAGAAGAACTTTTCAGAAGTCAGTAAAACACCACCACATCCCACTCTGCTGTATAGGGTAAAAACAAGCTGATAACAGATTTAAAAAGCTGCCCGTGTTTCCCATGCTTAATTGAGACTAATGTGATGTGAAATATCCACTTTATTGATCATCTTCCTTAACATCTTATAGTAATTTACATTTTTGAAACCAAAGGTTTATTCTCCAGTTAATATATGGAGATATAAAGCAGAGAAACGTGATTACATGTATTTCAAATTCCAAGAATGTGCTGTAGAAATGTGGAGCCACCCACATTTTTAAACATTTTTAAAGTCAGCCCACTGTCTTTAAACACAAAAGCAAGGGACAACATAAAAGCAAGGGACAACTTTTAAAAATAAAAAAAATGAAAAAGTAATAATACGATGATATATGTATGAATGAGAAGATGGCAAGCATTGAAATAAACATGTAATAATAATAATGTCATTTTGGTTTAATTTAACAATATGGCTTCCACCCTCATTATTCAGCAGCTTAGAAAATAGCACATCCTATTATTTTGCATTTTATTTTTTTATATCGCACACCGACAGGTAATTGTTAATTAATGTAGCCAGGAGATACTAAATCGAGGTCATGAAATTGTAATTTGGGCATGGGATGTAGGCAATTTTATCACACTTTTTTTACATTCACTATTTTGATTTGTTGAGTTAACACAACACTGTACTTAATACAGATGTTTTGGTTAATTTGATATGCTCTCCTGTAAAGAAATAGTGCCCATGTTTTGAAGGATAAGCTGACTGAGCACTCATCTGCTACACTTAAGTTGTGCATAATTTTATCCATTACAAATTCTGTACTTGAGATGAGTAATGTCTCCGATTAAGATGCTGTCTTCTTCAATGTCTGTGCGAAAAACAAGTTTTTACTTAATACAGCTCCTTGCTCAAGGTGATATTGCTCAAGAAATATGAGCTTAAGTCCAAAAGCTGTGCCTGAGACACACCTCTGTTTTTGCCGGTGCACGGAATAGCACTTAAGTCCTCATTTACATCTGAGGTCTAAAGAACAAACTTCTCACAGCATTCAAGCTCTACTTCCTGTTGGTTCAACTTGTGTGTGTGTGTGTGTGTGTATACGTGTGCATTTTGAGTATCACAGGAAAACTTCCCGTCATATGGAAAATCTTTTTCCAAAACATTATACACCACAACAATATCCCTGCATGTACTACCAGAGCCTGCCTCTTATATTAAAGCTTTTTTTAATATAGAGATAATCTAATCTAAAAGTACAGCTGCTTAAACAGGGATTAATACAGGCTGTGCATGAACCCACGCATTCGCAGTGGAATAGAAGTGTCCGTATTTGGGTGATCATTAACTTCTGAGTATCAATATCTATATTTTGCTGTGGGTGTGTGTTCGCTCAGTGAGCAACAAATTGCTATATAAAACCAGCCTTGACAAGGCGGGTGTGTTCCCCAGCTCATTTCTTTACTTTTTTAATCTGTCATTGCATTTTGGTTACTAGGCAATAAACCATGACACACTATATCACTGTGTGTTCCTGGAAAATAATCAAATTAACCACAGTGCCCAGGATCTGATGCCTGTCTGA